TTCAAAGGAAATTTAGAAGTCAAACTTCCGACAATATGGACAGATGAAAAGCAGAGTAGGGCAGAGGCAGAGAGAAGAGAAAGATTAGAAGAGAGAAAAGTAGAAGAGAAAGAGTCAGAAGAAAGAAGATACAGATGCTCGAAAAGGTAGGAAAATCGCGAAATACTGTGTTTTTCCAATGATTTGTGGCTCCGGAGAGTCGAAAAGTAGGCTCGCTAACGCGGCGGGTGCGGGCCAGATGAGAGATGAAAAATTGCACGCCATTGTGGCGCGAAGCACATTTCCAAGTCAAAATATACAAAACACACCATGTTCGGACCACTTTTGGAAGTTAAGATGTTGAAAAAGTGCACGCCATTGTAGCGCGAAACACATTTCCAAGTCAAAATATACAAAACACACCATGTTCGGACCACATTTGGAAGTTAAGATGTCGAAAAAGTACACGCCATTGTGGCACGAAACACATTTCCAAGTTAAAATATATAAAACACACCATGTTCGGACCATTTTTGGAAGTTAAGATGTTGAAAAAGTGCACGCCATTGTGGTGCGAAGCACATTTCCAAGTCAAAATGTACAAAACACACCATTCTCGGACCACTTTTGGAAGTTAAGATGTTGAAAAAGTGTATGCCATTGTGGTGCGAAACACATTTCCAAGTCAAAATATACAAAACACACCATGTTCGGACCACATTTGGAAGTTAAGATGTCGAAAAAGTGCACGCCATTGTGGCACGAAGCACATTTCCAAGTCAAAATATACAAAACACACCATGTTCGGACCATTTTTGGAAGTTAAAATGTTGAAAAAGTGCACGCCATTATGGCGCGAAGCACATTTCCAAGTCAAAATGTACAAAACACACCATTTTCGGACCACTTTTGGAAGTTAAGATGTTGAAAAAGTGTATGCCATTGTGGTGCGAAGCACATTTCCAAGTCAAAATATACAAAACACACCATTCTCGGACCACTTTTAGAACTTAAGATGTCGAAAAAATACATGCCGTTATAGCGCGAAGCACGTTTCCAAGTCAAAAGTATAAAAAAATAATAATTTAAGGATTTTATTTTTTTTTTAACGGTAAAAATATCAAAAAAATAGACATTAATTAATTTAATTAACTTAACTAATTTCACCATTTTCACTAACTTAACTACCTTAACTTCGACAACAACAACAACAGCAACAACAACAACAACAACTACAACAACAACAACTAAAACTACAACAACTACAACTACAACAACAACAACACCAACAACAACAACAACAACAACAACAACAACAACTGCAACAACAACAACTACAACTACACAACAAATACAGCTACAACTACAACAACAAAAACTACAACAACTACAAAACAACTACAACTATATAACTACAACTACACTATACTAATTACATTACACCACAACTACAACTCCACTACGCTACAACTACAACTACAATTGCAGTACATCACACTAAATCCAGCAGTTGTAGGTGAGGTAACCACTACAACCATTCCAGCAAACACAACTCCAACCACCTTTCGGTCAATCAGTGGCTTCGCTCTACCATCCCTAATTCATAACAACCAACTTCTCCTATAGGTTTCCTATTTTTGAAACTTCCGCCACCGCCTTATGCGATACTACTGGTATATACCCAAAATTTGTTGGGAAGGGAATAAACCCCCTATATTAATCTATATCCTTCAATATTTTAGATTATTATTATATATATATTAATAATTGTTTATTTTAGCATATTAATTTCCCATCTGCCAGGTAAGGATTATTAGATTTTATCAGAATTTTCTTCCTCTGCCTCGACCATGTCTGCATCAACTTCCACCTCAACTTCCGCCTTGCCAACTCTTCGCCAAGCTCTTCGCCAACTTCCCAGCTCAGTGCGCACTGCTGGACCTCAACCTGGGACCTTCCCAGCTCAGTGTGCACCGCTGGACCTCAACCTGGGACCTTCCCAGCTCAGTGTGCACCGCTGGACCTCAACCTGGGACCTTCAGAGCTCAGTGTTCACCGCTGGACCTCAACCTGGGACCTTCCCAGCTCAGTGTGCACCGCTGGACCTCAACCTGGGACCTGCCCAGCTCATTGTACACCGCTGGACCTCAACGGTCAAATAGAATGCCAGAAGATATGCCAGATAGAAAACTATAAGATATGCCAGATAGAATGCCAGAAGATATGCCAGATAGAATGCCATGAGATATGCCAGATAGAATGCCGGAAGGTATGCCAGATAGAATGTCAGAAGGTATGCCAGATAGAATGTTAGAAGATATGCCAGATACAATGCCAGAAGGTATGCCAGAGAGAATGCCAGATAAAATGTCAGATAGTGCCAGAAGATATGCCAGATAGAATGCCAGATAAAATGTCAGATAGTGCCAGAAGATATGCCAGATAGAATGCCAGAAGGTATGCCAGAGAGAATGCCAGATAAAATGTCAGATAATATGCCAGAAGATATGCCAGATAGAATGCCAGGTAGAATGAATAGAATGCCAGATAGAATGCCAGAAGGTATGCCAGATAAAGTGCCAGAATGTTTGCCAGATAGACTGCCAGAAGATTTGCCAGATAATATGCCAGAAGATATGCCAGATAGAATGCCAGAACATATGCCAGGTAGAATGCCAGAAGATATGCCAAATAGAATGCCAGAAGATATGCCAAATAGAATGCCAAATAAAATGTCAGATAGAATGCCAGAAGATTTGCCAGTAACAAAATGTATAATGTCATGGTGGGGATCACACGAAGTAAAATAATTTAAATAGATGTTTAATTTTTCTTCAATAATATTTGTAATTTTTGGCGCGTTGCCCTGTGCATGAAAGGTAGAGCAATTGCTGGTGTATTATATGTCTAAAATGGTGAAAACGCCATTAATTATCAGATTTATTCATATTTATTCATATTTATTTCAATTTAGATTTGACATTGATTTAGCAATATTCAACGAGAATTCAATGACAAATAAAAGGGTTCCGGAGAATTCTGCAAAATTCCATCATGTTTCTGGTAAGCTTCATTTACCCTCTGGTAAACTAATATGACTATGGAAACTCATAATTTTTAATTGGTAATTCAATTGCACATTACCATTTTCAATAGTTATGTTAGTTTACCAGAGGGCAACTATAGAATTTCAAGGCACTGACTCTGGGTCAAATAGAAAACGCCCACCGCTGTCATCCACCTGCATTGCGTTAAATGCTGAAGTGCCGCCGATCTTCCTGGGTGCGGACCGTATTGAGCCACAGCCATACATGCCTATACACCTGCACCTGTGCATAGGTATGGTTCCTGAAATGCCAGTGTCATCAAGCCTGTGGAATTGAAATGCCCGGAGCGCTGTTTAATTCGTCAGATCAAGCATGTACCAAGAATAGCATAGAATAGCAGAATGTAGGGAAATAAGACCGTACTTGGATGATATGGACTACACTGGTGATACCTCATGCTTCTTGAGATCCAATCTAAAATTGTCTGTTCATCATGATGGGTTGTCGTTGAATCATGTGGCCACCTCTTTCCATCCGTGATTGTAGTAAATGCATGTAAATGCTACTATAGCACTGGTTAGTGAATCCGAATTTCGCGGGATTATTCCATCTAAAAACGGTTTATCCCTTCACACCCCAGTTACTAACCACTCATTGCATTTTGGGCATTGGTAGGGGGTGCATCCCACTTAGTAAGCGGTTAACAACCATGGTATAGCCCACTGATTCATAGGATGTGGCTTATTATCCACTTACGATTCGTGGGATGATAATCCAAGTAGTCGTCTGCCGAGCCACCAAATCGCCTTCGAGAGCTGCCTGCCGCGTCCATGCAGGGAAGAGAGAAGCACCATGAGGCACTCTAGAACTTGGGATTAGAACATGGTCAATCTTGGGTAGTCCACCAAAAAAATGTTATCTTTTGCTGGTTATGGTTATGTTTCATTTACGGCAAAAAAATAAAGGGTTAATCTAGAAATCCATAAGCTTGACTGGGTTTACTAAATTGCATCCAAGCTAAGGAATGAAGCAAACCCAATAATGAACCATCCGCACACACTTGGGGTATGTTAAGATGGGTATGCCCCGAATTGGCATGATGTGAAATGTGACATGACCAAATAGACTGGTGTTTATTACCGCAATGGTTTATGGCATTGGGTTTGCCAAGACTATGAACATTAAGACACCGACACCAGCAACCAAGGGTTGTAACTACCCATTAGCAGTTGATTTTCCCAGTAGTCCTCCTATTTATCGAACGTTTCCAGCTTGACACGTTTGACTACCGGAGGGTAGAGAAGAAGGGTCCATCTAAGATTTTTTTTTGGCTGTTGAACAGTGAGGTGTAGGTTCATAGCAGCTGTGAGTTGCATCACTGCTTGACTGGCTGGTGGTTTCAATACCCAGTTGCATCATCCTACTCTTTCATACGGTTTTTTCAAGGTTTCTTGAGGTTTTCTTTAGGGGTTCTTTACAGTTCATTTATATAGGGTTTCTTTGGAGTTTTTTTTTGGGGTTCTCTTATGTTAATTTAGAGTTTTCCCTAGAGTTTTTCTAGGTTTTTGAAACAGTTTATGTAAAAAGGGCCGAAAACAGCGATAGCCCGACAGCCCAATCCCCCTCAGAGGGTCATCAAACACGTCTCCGGGCTCGCAAACCCGGAGACATCAAATTACAACAGCCCAACGTAGTGGAAGGCCACAACGTACTGTAAAGGTCACCCAAAATGAGGTGCCCGACAATCATCCCGAAAGACGTTGGGGCAAAGCATACTGGCCGAAATAATTGAAACCACCAGGGTTATATCCCGAGTCATTGCTCGATCCTGGATTTTTTGGGCTGTACCCCCATTAATTATATACCATAATTATCCCATATATAATCTTGTGGGCCTTTCACTTTTTGCTGGTCGGGGGGTCGAGTGTCCAAACTCTAAGGTGTTATTCCTCCATTTCTACCCCCTGGTGCCTGGTGTCATCAAACATAGCTTGCCATGATGTTCCCATCGATAGATGCCCATTGAGTTCGGGAATTTCCCAGCTATATGGAAGGATAGTTCCAATAACAACCATTAATCACCATTTCTTTGAATGGTATAACGGTATAATATCCCCATTTTGGCGGGTGAAATTCCATTTCAACCCCCACGGTTGTGAACCTAGCAGCACTCGCTGCACTTCGCGCCTGGTCGCTTCCCTGCACTCTTTGCAGCAGCATCCATTGGCGCCCACCAGGCACGACCGGCCTCAGAGCAAAAATGCCAGGAATTGCGAAGCCGTGGGGCTTGGGAACAAGCTGGGATTTAGCCGACCCATGGCAGCCTGGCAGTGGGGAAAACATGAAATATAGGGAACACATAGGGAACATATGGGGAAAATATAAGGAGGTTATGGGAAAGTATAGGAAATTCCGAGTTCAATGAGAAAATAGAGGGAGCTCGCCCATAAAGGGTGCATGTTCCATTTCCGTGTTGCGCTACCAGATCGTCACTAACACTCTTTTTACAATAGTCTTACAATCCTTAGCTCCAAACTGTTAGTTGGGGGGTTGGTAAATCATGAAAAATGGCAGGAGCATAAAAGCATGTTCCACAATAGCTTCTACCATATTTAAGAGTGAAAGTTGTGGGTGAAACAGAAAGAAGTGGGTGGTCAAAATCCAAAGTCCACCACATTTGTTTGGCCACTTTTAGGAGTTTTCCTATGAGGTGGTGCCCCTAGCTATGCCTGTTGATTGATTGCCAATCTACCCTCTGGTAATTTAACATAGCTATTGAAAATGGCCCATTTATGGTTGATTTACTTATTAAAGATTGTGATTTTCCATAGCTATGTGAGTTTACTCGAGGGTAATTACAATGAATGCCATCAATGTAAACCCAACAGTCATTCAAGTGAATTCAACCAACTTCGCAAAGGTTTATGATTGTGAGTGACGTCGCTAGTGTTGAGGGTTATGTTAAATCGTATCTGAAATATAGTACCCCAGCTATATCCCGATTACATCTCCATTTCATACCATCATTGTTGTATTATTTTTGTTGCTTAAATTCACGATCAAATCCTCATGACACCCCATCACTTTCCATTAAGTTCTATCAAATCCCATTAAATCCCAATTGCCACCAACGGGAGTGTGTCCTCGTTACTCTTGGCTATACCGATCATGCATGTATGTATATATAAATCAATCAATATGTGCGTATGAACATATATGTGCATATAAATATATATATATATGCACACACATATGTGTATATATATAAAGCTATAATATGCACATATATAACATATAATATATATATACATAATATGCACATATACATATATATACATATTATATAATATGTGTGTGTACATATAGAGATATACAGAAATATGCGTATGTAAGGGATATATACACATATTTTGTGGATATAGACATTGGATTTAAGAGAAGCAATTGTTGGGTTTCAATCTCTGGATCTGAGAGTGGTGCGCCGTTTTTGTCAGCCCTTTTTTCCGGAACGTAACGGAACCCTGTTTTCCCTGGAACCGTGGAAGCTGCTGTTGGCGGCTGCAAAGCTAGGTTAACATTATATGTTATTAGATATTTGATATTGCATCTCTGTATATATTTAAATAACTATAAATACTATATATATATATATGTGTGTGTGTGATATGTAAAATTGTATACATATGATATAAATAACAACACATATATATATATATATATACATGATATGTACATTTAAAAATACATGATATATACATATATACATACATGATACATATATATATATATATATGATATCCAAAAATATGATATATATATATATAAACTAAACCCTCCCCAAATGATAAACACCTCAGGTGGTTTTTATTATTAGGGTGTATTTATTATTAGGGTGCGAAGCTTCCCCCTAATACTAAATTTAAAACCTTGATATAAACAACTTGTTTTTTCTATTTCAAAATCGATTAATTTTCCTTTCAAAATATAATTAACATATTGCCAAAATTGGATATCAAAGCTTCCCCCTAATAATAAATTTCAAATCCTAATGTAAATAAACTATTTTTTTCTATTTCAAAATCGATCAGATTTCCTTTTGAAATCTAATTAAAATATTGCCAAATATTGGATTTTGGAGCGTTCCCCTAATATTTTGAAAACCTTAATATATTTTTTATGTTAGACCTTAAAAGACAGACACTAATAAAAAAAAACCGGGGTTGACTAGTTTTTCATTATCCGGGGGTGAAACCCTGAAATGGTAGCTTCATGTGTAAATAGGGGATCAAATAAAAATCAAGTTGGCCAACCTCAAATTTTCCAAAATTGGAGACGGATCCTAGTTTCTATTATATTTTTTGGGGGGGCTTAGTAACAGGGGGAAGGGATTATATGATATATATATATATATAAATGAAGTTTATATAATAGATATCAACATGAAATTTCTGTATATGTAAATAAATAAATATATATATATATACATACATTAATATGATGTATATGTATAATTTATGATATACATATTTATATATATATATATCATGTGTATGTACACATGATATATATATATATAAGATATTATATATGTGATATTTTTACAACTCATATATATATAATATGTGATAGCATAAACATGATAGATAGATAGATAGATAGATAGATAGATAGATAGATAAATAGAAAGACAGATAGATAGATAAACAGACAGACAAACAGATAGATAGATAAATAGATAGATAGATAGATAGATACATAGATGGATAGATAGATAGATAGATAGATAGATAGATAGATAGATAGATAGATACATAGATGGATAGATAGATAGATAGATAGATAGATAGATAGATGGATAAATAGATAAATAAATAAACATGATATGCTATATATGATCATATATATATATATACAGATATGATATGATTATATATATATATGATTATATATGTACACATGCCCTCCTTGTTGTAACATTCATCTTTGTTGAACCATGCTGGTTCCCACGCCATGCCTCGCTTAAGTCTCATCCCCTTGGTGGCCACACATGTCACCATGCAGCGGTTGCAGTCCACATTGGCACAGTTCCAGAACTCCTTCGCCAGCGGGTCTCCGTCTGAAGCTACTTACTTGCTTAATAATATTGATGGTTAATCATTAATAACCTTATAATAATGGTTTAACCTCAAAGCCATCATCATCAGACTTGGTTGAAAGGAATCTGGAAGTTGAACTCCTCCAATATCTGATCGGAAACACCATGGTTTCGCCTAAGCGCTGGTAACATTTCCCTGGGACAATCCAAAAGACGCGGGTAATTCTTGAGCCAGCCATGAGGAAAACTCTTCGGAGATTGACCGATTTTGGACACACTTAGTCAACATTATAACAAAGGATATTAGAAGGACAAAATAAGGAGCTGATACTGTATACCAAAGGTTGAGAGTCAGCCTCATCTTTGAAAGCCGCAAAAGCCGATTTGCTGGAAGATCCCTGGCTTAGTGCTGGATCCATCCGTAAATTCATGGGCTGACTCACCCAACTTATTCAGTAGAATCATTGCCAATGCTGGTTTCGCTTTAGCACTCCCATCCCCCAAATATATCAATCAAACCTGGACCCCTAGCGATATTCAATGAGATGTCTACCCTCCGGTAAACTAACATAACCGTGGAAAATCACCATTTTCAATGGGTAAACAATCCACTATTTCTATGGCCATTTTCCAGTTCGCTACGTTAGTTTACCGGCACCGTCCCCACCTCAGCAGGGTTGGATTGGCCGCACATGGAGCAGTGCTGCAATTTTGCAGCTCCTGGCGCTGGAAAATCTCCAAAGTTTTCCAGGTCTTGGGGATTCAGCCACAAAAAAATGCAGGATGCAATGATGAAATCATGTGGATGGAATTTGGGAAATAATCCCTTCTTCCTACTACTAAAACTCCCACAAATAAAAAAGTAGGATTGAGTGAGCACGGTCCCATGTATAATGTAGAGATGTGAACGCAAAACGGGATTGGGCCCAATCAGGGAGCAACCGCTTGGATTGGCCAAATCGATTCATGAGACGCGGCCGGTGGGTGAATTTTCCCCGTGGGAGTACATAGTCATGGACCCCATTGCAAGATAGAACGGTTTTCCCCCATTATTAATATTATTGTCTAATTAGAACAAAAATTCCAGGTTCCCAACTTCTGAATGATCATCATATTCCTCCTCGTCACACACACCGTCATAGCCACCCACCTCTGATAGCTTGAGAACAATCGTGGAAACACGAATGTCCCATCACTCCATTGACCGCTAACATGCTTGAATCCCAGAAGATACTCCCAAAATAGCTGTTAAATAGATGTAATTCACCGGTGAACGGGTAGCTCCTCATGGGTTCAAAACCATGTTCAGCCCCGATGTTTGAAACCTTTAAATGATCATTATAACCAGGTTAACACATGTGAGACCTTCAATTATGTGAAACCATCTTACACCAAGAGTTGTCCTAGTTTCATCAAGATTCCCCATGTTTTTTTCCCAATTTTTACAAGTTTCCCTATGCCAAGGTCAGGTGCCCCACGGACTGCACTCCGCTTCGCTCCTTCGCCCACGGGCACCGAGTTGCGCCGGTCAAAGACAAAGAGCCGGCCCTGGAGCCGAGAGAGAGCCGGAAGCTGGTGGTCAAACGTGGCCAAATCCCAAAAACATAAGGAAACTTTGGGGAACATGGTGACAAGGTCTATCCTGAATATGGTGAAGAGGTCTATCCTGAACCATATTACCTTATTTCTATATCATGACCTTATTTCATTGAAGGTTAACAGAACATGGGGAAATAAGCGGCAACTGACTGGGCATATGACAAAACTGACTGTCCCAAAATGGTTCCTAGGGATGGTGATTGGAACGGTCACCAAATCTCAGAAATAGTCATATGTTTCTCCATAAACATGCTTCAAGGATTTTCAACATATTTTGTGACCTGATTTTGGGAAACTAGCAATATCTAGCAATGCTATCTCAAATCTTATTTTTTTCGCGAAGAGTTAGGAAAATAGATGGAACATATATTGGATCTTAGGGAGTTTCAATATATTTCGTCAATGATATGTTGGGACCTTGTTTTTGACATAGCCCTTTCACATCCTTTCACTTTCCCCCCGCAGCCAGAGGCAACCAAGTGTTTGACCGTTTGGGGTCCCACATTTTAATGGATTCCGTGAATAAGCATCAATTTATATATTCCAGTATTATATTAAATGAACTTCATATTAATCCCTATGAAGTCCCAGTATCCCTCACACATTGGGCAACTGCCCCAACTTGGCACCTTCCAACCCTCCGAACCGATGGTGTTGCCATAGTGCTGGATCCCACCTTTCAGCTTGTACACCTCACGTTGGATCTGCCAGCTGGGGTCCTACCATGAGCCTTTGGAAATCAGAAGATTTCAAGCGAAACCTCCAGAAGATTTGGTGCGTGGCATTGGCTCGAAAACCACACTCCGACGGCGCAGTGCCGCTGAGTAATTAATTATATCTTTTGATCCACTCATGAAGCGGTTGCTATCCCCATTGGTGATTGGTGATTCGGTGATTCACCAATTTCGGCTAGTGAATTTAGTTGGTGTAGATGTTAACTTCCAGTCATCTGTGGGTACCTGGTGCTGAGCCCCAAACATGTTTGAAACCTGAGCGCTGGCCATGAAACGACGGGTACCTCTGGGTATTCCAAATCCATCGGATTTCGTCCATGTTCCGCATGGTTTTTGATCATGGCCATCGGATTATTTGGGTATGTACTTCCGGGATCTTCCGGCTATGTACTTCCCATTTTGAGCCATACCAAAATATCCAAAATTGAGCCCACCATAATCATCATGACAAGAGGTTTCTACACATTTCTACACCGGGACGCCACATAGATTGACATGGAGCTCGGAGATTGAAAACATCCTTGGGCCATAGAGGCAAAGAGGTCGCTAAACCATGATATAACTATCAAGTCTTTTCTGGCAGTAGAATGAGCGGAATGAGGTGTGTATATATATATATACAAATATACGTATGGTATGTATATATACACTATATACAATATATAAATATCATATCTATATAATAGTATATATTTATATACCTATATATATTTAAGTATATATATATACAATAGTATATATTTATATACCTATATATATATATACGTATATATATATATATACTTCATATAAATTATATCACCCTCTGATTTCAGCTCTAACCGCTTAAGGCTTAGATCAATGCAAACCAGGCTGTGTGATCAGGATCACATGGCCCGGAAAATCTCCAGTTTTCCATGTGTTTCCCAGCTCTAAACCTGTCTAAACCTCTATTTATTCAGCGGATTTTCCACCTAGCGATGTTTGAACATCAGTAATTACATGTAATTACACTATGACTATAACTATTACCAAAGGATCCTTCCATGAAATCATCAAAATCAACACTAGAATCATCATAAACCACCATTTTCTTACCATTCATCACCATGGCAAACCCTCGGCTCCCCCAAGCGCCGACCTTGGCGTCGCAGCGCCGCGCCAAAGTACTCGCATCGGATGCCACCCGTGCCTCAAAGGCCACTGCTAGGGTTTCCATCGCCTTGTATTTGGGTGAAGAAGATTCATCGCTTTTTAGACGGTCATAGTCATCATCATAGGTATATGATAAAGAATATGATAATGATATATATATATATATGGGATAGGTATGGGATTCTATGCTATATGGGATTTAACATGTTTTAACTGATAAATATCAATACTATTCAATAGATATATGTCACATGTCTATACACACTATATCATCATCATCATCATCATCATTTTTTCTAAGCATTGTCATCGACTTGCTTGAGATACAACGAGATTCTTTTTACCCAAGCTGACTCCAGGCAACATCGGCGGAAAACGTCTTCCTTCCTGGACGGCCCGGCAGTACATGTACAGAGGCGTCTCCTGCGGATGGATTTCATGTTTCAAAGGGGTACACATTCGAAAAATAATGTCAATAGTTACCCGAAATATGAAATATGAAATAATGGTTAATAATGGTTAATAATGGTTAATAATGGTTAATAACGGTTAATCATACTTGACAATGGTTAATATGGGTAAATTTCAATATTTCACTAACCTGAAATAAGGCAAATATTGGGATATTTCCCCTAACCTTTAATCCAGGGTTCGGTCGCAGTGAGGTCGTTATAATTTAACCAGAATAATTAGAGACTTTTCCGAATCTCTGTTTGGGGTCTGCAAAATTTATGAATATGTATTATAGTTCCTATCCTATGAGCCTTTAGTTATAATTTCATCTCATATGCTGATAATGCTGGTCAAATCCACATCTGATGATACCATGTCTGCTTGGTTTGTTCATCTCCGAAAAGTCTAAATTTCAATGGGTTACGTGGTATATCCATCTAACCCCAAAGACACAGTTCTCATGTAAGCTGCCCATTGATCTTCAAGCAATGGGCAGAGTCTCGGGCTCTCCATTGAGTGTTGCGGAGAGCCAGTCCCTGGGTCCCTGGCCCCTTCGCTCCCCCAAGATCTATAGCCACTAGGTATATGAGGGTTTTCAGAAATGGTGGTACCCAATAATGGATGGTTGATTTCATGGAAAATCCCAATCTGAATTGGATGACTTAGAGCTATCCCCATTTTAGGAAAACTCCATATGTCCAAATATCTGGATAATATGTAACATATTATTCACCACGCTGACAAACATTGGATCATTAGACAGCCTTACTTAGTCACTAACCATCAGTTCAAGTGACGTCGCAGTGAGGTCCTCGTAATTTATCCATCCGAATCTTCCCATATTATATTCCCATTATACCCGGTTTACATCCCATTATAGCACCATGTTTGGTGGTAAAAACACGATTTTTGATACTTAATATCGTTCATAAGCAGAATTGTGATCCTGAACTACGTATACAGTTGGTCATGTGTGTATATATATATATATATTGTATGCATAGAGTGTGTATATTTATATATATATATTATATATACATATACATATCTGTAATATCACCTACAAGTATCCAATATTAGGTCCCCTATCTTCGTTGCTTCTTCACATCTGGAGCTCAATCTGCCGAAGTCCTTATCCTTGGAGCTCAACGAAAGGCTAACGAGGTTCATGGCCTGGATTTTGGCGCGCCGAGGGGACTGATGGGGATACCTTCTGGTTAACAGAGAAGCTATGGAACATGGCCCATTTAATGGGATTTATCATGGGATTTAATGAGATTTACCTTCTGGCAATTTGTTACATATAGTTGTTGAAAATGGCTATAGGAATAGTTGATTTAGCCATCAAAAGTGGTGGTTTTCCATAGTGAAATGTTAGTTTACCAAAGGGTAACAAAGAAAAATGGGGATTTATCCAGGAAGAACATGATTTTATCAACAAAGTCAAAATGGATTGACCTTGATTCAATTCTATGTCTTGTTTCCCAAGACCTGGAGTATCTTGGAAGATTCAATTGAGTTTTCACACTCGGATGGTCTTGGATTTACTACACTTAAACCGGGATCAAATTGAATGTAACACACAAAGAACGTTCAACTCACAAAACTTGAGAATTTTCATTGCTACATCCAGCAGGGGACCAAAGTTGCACGTCAAAGTTGTGCTCCGTGGCTGGGAAATTCTCAAACTAAATGGACGTTGATATCTGGGAAAATCATTGGTGATTTTCCATTCTCTCTCTCTCTAGCGTCCAGTGCCATGTTTGATTACCAGAGGGTAATCCGAGTTCGCCGCAAGCTTTTTGCATCGTGGTTGCCTTTGTTTGGTATCATGAATCCGCCTACGATAAAGTTCAAAATGCTTCCTGCAGGGAAGCTGGTCACAAATTGGTCAACCCATAAAGCGACGTGGCACGTGGCAGCTGACTTTCGAGAAACAGAGCAGGGCGAAGATCCAACATCGAACTGCCGAACTTTCCAGCTGGAAACCAATATTGCGGATACGTAGAATATAGATAGCCTCTGGTAAATCATGACTAGCTGGAAAATCCTCCATTTAAATTCAGGGATTTCCCAGCTAGCCACGTTTGATGACACCGGAGGGTAGTTGTTCTTCAGGGGGTCACATGGTGCCACCTGAATTTCTAGGTGGATCGCGTTCGTGCCGTTGAAGCTGGCACTGGCTTAACCAAGCTTTGCAGCCCCAAAAATACTCAGGAGTGCAGTGTCAGTGAACTAACTGGATATATAACCAGAGTCATAGGGGTCATATCCCAGCTTATTGCGGCAGTTATAGCTATAGAGCCCCAATCTCCCAACTTATCGAGGAAAAAATGCCATAGGAAAGCCCCAACTGCAGAGCAAAATGGTGGGCTAATGCTTGACTCACGTTGGGGTCAAACGCCCATTTGTAAAATCGTCACAAACATAGATGTGTGTATATATATATACATATGCACACATACGGCAACATAGCATATCTCTATATATAAATAAATAATATATATATATATAGATATGTATATCCTCTGGTCATTTAACAATGTGCTTCCAGGAAGCCATGGCCCATGTAATTCCAGAATTTGACCGTTACAACAGTTGCAACAGGTGATTTTTCATGGCTATGTCAATTTACCGGAGAGTACATACATTCATGAATGCATCAATGTATTATAATATATATATATATATATATCAAAAGAACAATAACACAAACAAATGGGCATCTTGTAACAAAAATACAAGACATCTGCACTGTAAACATACCCTGTGGGCATGGGTCTGAACCCCTGAGAGCCTGGTGAATACCAAAATAGTTTGTACCACCATCCCCTGGTTCCTATCATTACCCATCGTACCATAGCCTCAATCCTACGGCACTTGCCAGCCAACTGCCAGAAGCCATGGGCGAGGAGCGCGCAGCATGATTTCTGTAGGGTATTTTTTTTGGCACAGGAGGTGGCCACCAAGAAACTGATGTGATAACGCCTTGGATCATATTTCATCCATAGCTGTTTGGTTGAGAAAACTCCTGAACAATCTCATTCAACTCCTAGTGGGAATGGGCACTGAACAGCAGTTCAAACATGTTCAAGCCAAGAAACTTATATAATAAACTAATAAACAAACACGGTTCGACACCGCTCAAGCTTGTTCAAGATTCAAGTTGCAGCAGAATGTGCGCACCTCACCCCTTCAAGAAAACACCACCGCTCGATGAGTGGCACATCGCGCGTCTGGATTGAATCAGCCGAGAGTCAACGGCCACAAGTGAAACCATGAATCTGGGTAAATTATAATATTTCATTAACCTGAATTAAGGCCCCACGAGACTTTCCTCAACCTGAATTAAGGCCATTTGGGGATGATTTCCCTTATTAACCATGATTACCCTCTGGTAAACATACAAAAAACTATGGAAAATCACCATTTTTGATGGGTAAATCAACTATTTCAATGGCCATTTTCCAGTTAGCTTTAACTGTATGTTTACCAGGCCGGGTAATGATGACCTGAAATCCCTGTGCTCACTCGTTGTGGATGTGTCGTTCATCTCCACGAGGAGATGGAGAAAGGTGGATCAGAATCGGGTCTGTTTCCCCTCCCATTGGTCCATATAGAAGGAACGGTTTCGTGCTTGAAAGGACCAAACTCATGCAACACACATACATATCTATATGTATGATTATATATATATATACACACATATATATATATATCTATATATATATATACCTGGATGTTCGTGAATCTTCGTGGATCTTCTTGTTTCACCTCTGGTCTCCGGAAGCCCGGCCCGAAAGTCTTAGATTGCCAGCTGTAGGGAGAGATCAAGACGTTGAACAGGATGTGACCAGATATATAGTAAGTTCTATAGTAGCTATACCCTGGATTATAGTAAACCCCCAAACGGCTGTTTAATTGGGGGGTACCATTTCTGGTTGGTGGTATAACTACCCCTCTGAAAAATATGAGTTCGTCAGTTGGGATGATTATTCCCAATTGCAATATATGGAAACATGAAAAATGTTCCAAACCATCAGCCATATTTAAGTATCAAATTATCATTATGACTATTGGGGAGTACTATATCCTAATCAAAAACTATAGTATAGTTTATTAATCCGGGGTAAGTTATATAGTAGCTGGAACACGAACTTGGCTGCGAAAGCCACAAAAGTACAGCAAGTCATTTATGGAATCGGCTGAAGTAATGGTCACAACACCCCGAGCACCCTTCGACTATGAAAAGCATGATCGTCTCTCTGGCGCCACCCACGACGCAAATTCGCCACCCACGACGTAATTTCGCCACACGGTTTTCTCACATCACAGCACATGGTGCCGTGTCTCACATTGAGAAGTTGGGTTGGCACATTTTGTCAGTCTACCCTGTCAATCGACCAACCCACAAAGAAGTTATAGGTTTTTCACAGCATGAACCCAATGCTTCATAAAGAAGTTGGGTTTGTATATATATATACTTTGACCGGAAAAGGCTAATGAGAGCTTAGGTCTGTATGAAGTTGGGTTTTCCCTTCGCAAAATTTGTCCCTTAGCAAAACTGGTCCCTTAGAAAAACTTGTCACTGAAAATTTTGTCCCTTAGTAAAATTTTCCCTTTAGTAAAATTAGTCCCTTAGCAAAATTTGTCTCTTAGAAAAACTTGTCCCTTAGAACAACTTGTCACTGAACATTTTGTCCCTTAGCAAAATTTTCCCTTTAGTAAGATTAGT